GCGAGCGCATAAAATATCAGTACAAACCAAGGCGGCGCCCGAGAGCGTAGCGGCAGTGAGCGAAGGCGACGCGGCCCCGTGCGCAAAAAAACACACACAACAATGCGGCGGCTGCTGCTAGCATCCCCTACAGATATGCCGTGCAGTGCGGGCCCAAAACAGAAGACGACCCGAGCCACCATCAAAAAACCCTAAACCCTAAAAGAGGAAGGACTGGGTGGTCTCGGGGTGGGATATTAACTTTAGCGAGGCGCGCCGCCCCCGACCTCTTGGGTCGAGGCGCGACGCTTCCAGGTGTACACCCTAAGCCTAAACTCCTAACCCTAAACCGAAACCCTACATGGCTTCTACACCTGGCCTGTGGATCCGGAGCACCATACTGCTGGCGCGCGTACGCGGCTCTGCGGCGGGACCTGGGTGGTGGATAACATGTGGGCGGTTGTCAAGATTATGATCCCTTTTTGGGTACCCTAAATATTGGGATATATTAGGTGCCGTATGATAATTTGGGATCCAAAAAGGGACCATAATGTGACAACCACCCATGTAAGATTCTAGGGGTTAGGGTTTGAGGTTTAGGGTTTAGGGCTTGGGTACAGTTTTGGGATTGATTAGGGTTTAGGTTGAAGGTTTAGGGTTTCAGGGATTAATTAGGGCTTAATTAGAGTTTAAGGTTTAGGGCTCAGGGTTTAGGGATTAATTAGGTTTTAGGGTTTAGGGTTCTGGGCTTAACATCAGTTCAAGGTTGCCATGGACTACCTCCACCCCATACCCCCCTAAGGCTCCAGCTTATTTAGCCTGAGCTAGCCTTAAATGCTTAAGGACAAACTTGGGGGGAGGGTAGTATAGAGGGGGGTGGCTAGGTAACCCATTATGTAAGCATAGTCTAGGGGTTGAAACTTAGGGGTTAGGGGTTTAGTGTTTGGATTTAGGGGATAAGGTTTAGGGCTAAGGGGTACGGCTTAAGGTTGAAGGGTTAGAGATTTAGAGGGAGTAGCGGTTGACGGACGTAGTGGCTTGAAAGTGTACCTATAAAGTCGGAACTATGGCCACCGAAGGTGGGTCCTTGTTTGTGGGGTCTTGATACCACATGTGTACCGATCAAACCCCACAAACTTAATTCAGGGATCATAGTTAGGATCCAGGAAGCAGGTAGGGGCAATATCAGGGGTTGGGTCATGTCTGAGACCTTAGATGGTTATTAAGAAGAAACAGACTGAGAAAGCTGGACTTTGGGTACACGCCCATCTGTGTTAACCGACTTGCAAGTAAGCCAGCGCTGAAAGATCCCTGAACCCAAAGCCATGCGATTTCTTGGTATGTGCGTTTCACAAGTGCCCCGTGACTTAGGACTTAAGTCTCCAAAAAGAGCAGGGCCCCATACCCAAAACCTTTTGCGTGCAGTAGGCTTTTGGAGTGCCCACCTTGAAAAATACCAGCCCCAAAGTCAGAAACATAAAGATGGGGTCAACATTTCATGGTTCAGGATGCATAAAAAAGTGGGACACGTATTATAGGCTCGCGTCATGAAATGCATGCAAGAAGCCAGTGTTTTTGTTGATAAGCCCACTGACTCCCCCAGACCCCAGGCCTAAACCCAGCACCCCAAAACTCACCAGGTTAAAGGCCTAGGGTTACATCCGAAGCCCCAAACGCAAAACCCAACACAAAATGAACATCCTAGACTAAGAGCCCCGAACTCGAAACCCTAGTTATGCGCTTCTGGAGAAGCACTCAATGACCGATATACTATAGTAGTTTCCATTTTCTTTTCCATTATCCCCATATAATCCCTATATAACCCTATATGTGGGTCTAATGGGGTAGATATTGGGGTCATATAGGGAATATGTAGGGATAATGGAAAAGAAAATGGAAACTACTCTGAAATAGAATCCCTATACAATATGTTCCCTTCTTCCCTACCAACCGCCAGCGAATCGCTCCCAGCACTTTCGCCATTTGTTTTTCGAAGCTTTCCGGGGCAGATCTTGAGCCCTAGGGCTTCACAGCCCAAAGTTCCACACAGGCTCATCTGGGAGTTTCTCCCAACATCTATAGAATCCTAAAGGGGGCCCCACCCTGCCCTAAACCCTAAACCCTAAATCCTAAACCCTAAACCCTATCTTCCGCCCAAGGTCTCCAATTTTCAAGGAACTCTAAGTCCTCAACCCTACCAATCCTACCTTGCATCTATATAGGGTTTAGGGTTTAGGGGTTAGGATTTAGGGTTTAGGGTTTAGGGTTTAGGGGTTAGGATTTAGGGTTTAGGGTTTAGGGTTTAGGATTTAGGGTTTAGGGTTTCTCCCAAGAACCCTCTCCCCATCTGGATTGGAGAAACTCCCATCTAGGCTTTCGGAAGGGAATCCGGAAGTTTGCTACGCGAAAATGGCCTGGGACCATCCTGTCTTTGCAGAGGCCCGGCGCTCCATGGGTATAGTCCCCCTTAAGTAGATAGAATATGGGGTATGGGGGGATCCTATTATAATATACCCAAAGCCATATTCTATCTACTTAAGGGGGACTATATACACTGAATATTATGACGAATGTACAGGAAGCGTGTGTACGTATAAGAGATTATGTAGTGGTTATGTGGGGAAAGGACATATCGGGATTTCTGGGGCTTAGGCTTGCCAAGCAAAAGCGGAGCATTTTTTGGAAGTCTACATACTGATGGTCACATGTGTTGTGAAAATCACATCGTACTTTGCAGTGTTGAGCCCCTGTAGCCCCCAAAAATCTCTTTGTTCGGCTATTAGCTCCAAGCGCGACACCCTAAAACTAAACCAAAGGCTCTAATTAGGCTTTAAACCCCGAGCTTTTTTGCTCGAGAGGGACTTGCACAAAAAAATTACTGGAAGGTTCGTAAGGGAATAACGGTATTGCATAGGGACTCTATGGGGATCAAACTCCTTTATTCTCCACCCACCCCCCAGTAAGAAGATCCCTTCTAGATAATCTTCTTTAGGGATCTTCTCACAGGAGGCCGTCTTTCTCGACTATTCTTTGGGCCCTAGAAGGTGCACCCATACCAGACACCTCCGGCTGCAAACAAAAGATTTGAGCCCCATGCTCCACCTGCGCTTCATATGGCCACAGCCCTGTCTATGATTGAGCGGAATTTAGCTTTAGGACACATTTTTCTGAGACACCACCCATACGCTACACCCCCAACGCTTTTGACATCCACTATTTTTGCCATGGCTCAAGACACTGCAACGTGTAATCATGGCGTGCGGCATTAACATCCACCGCCACGATGTGTTTAGCCTCCCACCATGCAGCGACCAAAAGTAACACCTAACACGTCCTGCAGCTACAGCCTACATTCTGGATCACCACATTGGTTTCCAGTACTACTCAGGTAGCCTTGACGCACTTCTTCATCGCCGAGTCGTAACCTGCGCGAAAAGTGTTCGACTTTCGGGGAGGCACAGGTACAGGATCCGAAAAGTTTGGGCCGTACAGTTGCGCAGCCATCCTGAATCTCATCTCGATACCAAGAGGCGACGCAGAACGGAAACCACCTGCTGAGCACTTACACCCGAGAAAAGCCTGTCGGGAAGCGTGCGTTCGCTGATAACTCAACTTGAGACATGGCCGCCCAAATACGGTTGCTGTACAAGCGTCCACAAATGTCCCATGAACACCTTGCCTGCCGAAGTCCTCCAATCCCAGCTTATATGCTCAATTCGAGCCGAAAAAGTGCAGGCTAGTTGCAGTAGTGAAGTTTGCAGTTGCATTTGTAGGTGCCCAGGCCATGGACCATGCCATCGCACACGGTCTTTCCTGAGACTTCGCGCTCATCAGCAAAAACTCCATCACGGATACCATTTTGGTTAATGTCGAAGTGGCAACTATGTTCAGCCCGTGTGATAAGGACCCTGGAATGTCAGGGATTATGATAGTACCCCCCTCAAAAGTTACCCCCCCAGATTTAGAATCCTATTAGGCTTGATTAAGCCCTAAAGAGTCCTTATTAGCTCCTTAAACCCTGGGGAGGAATATCTCTTGGGGGGTCTTATTGTAACCCCTTAGAATGGTTTTGTCAGGACAAGGCCTCGGAATCTCCAACAGTGTCCGCTTTGGTTTGCAAATTCGGAATATATTGGGCCAAGTATAGGGATAATGGAAAAGAAAATGGAAACTATTATATGATCTTTAGTTCATCCCAATCCATGTCCCAAGTTAGTCGCGAGC